TTTTACATGTTGTAACTGTATCATGCTGTTCATTCTTAAGATTACTGTTTATTGTACTTGCAATGGAAGTGAATGCAGTAGATAAAAAGAGAAAGTTAAACATTTGAGATCTTCATCTTGTTTTATTCAGTTAACAAAAAAATCAATGTTGATGAGCAGAGCATGTATTTTAATGGTCAACAAATGTGTCACTACACGGATTCCACTGTACAGTCGCAGCTCTCGATGGGTGCTCCGTAAACGGAGGGATCTACGTACATACATACATACATAGCCACCTGACCACAATTGTCAGGAATAATGGAAAATTAATAATCATGTTTTTTAGTACTAGTATTGAAATATCTTCAAAAATTAACTCAAATCCATGTAACTTGTAATAATTTATGTAATTTGTAATGTGAGGTATATTTGATTAAGTCATTTTTCATGAAAGGAGAAGGTCTTTTTGTGGGAATTTATGCTAAAAAATCCAAAAGGTTAATTTATGTACCAAATGACATCCTTGAGACATTTTAAAATCATTCTGTTGGAAATCGGTCTTTAGATTTTGATACTTTTTTAACCTCTGTATGTCTGTCTGTAATATGCAAATCCATCACAGTTATCTGAGGAATTACAAATCAAGAGTTTCCTGAAAGTCATCAGTCCTCATGTGAACATGCTTTACTGAGTAATGCAGTTTAAAATTCACCCATTCAACTTCCCGTTAACAGGATACCTATTAATTCTTACACAAAATTTCATTTATTTTTTAGTTAAATGTGCTTTGAAGCTAAGGTTAATAAGACAGATTACAAGGGGGGGGGGGGGGCTAGGATGAAATTTGAAATGAATAGGCAGGATATGAGTTTTGAGTAAAAAAAAAAAGGCAGGATGAGACACTTGCAAAAAAAAAATTCAGGATGACAATTTAGGTAAAAAAATGTCAGGATAAACTTAAAAAAAAGGCAGGACCGAACACAGTGAAAAATAAAAAGGCAGGACAGATTACAACTAAGAAAAAAAATGCAGGACAAAATTTTTCATCCTAGCCCCCCCTAAAAATCAAATGGTAGCTCCCTTACCATGGGCAAATAAACGGAAATGTATTTATGAGAATTAGGACTGGAAAAGTGGTTGTATTATAATTATTCCCTCAGCACACAGCGTAAACTTTTTTAAGGAGAAAAAACATAGACTGTTGAATCTGAAGGTACTTGTCCAGTTAGGATGACATGTCTTCTAGCAGATTCTCTCCTTGTGGTGAACTAGCATGTCAAAAAATCAGCTCAGTGTAATATTGGTCTAGTACAAAATAGTGTCATTATTTATATCTGAGTATCAAGTCCTCGTTCTGATTATGCACTTAACTTGCCACTGGATGACAAAACATCCAACCATCCATCTTCTCAAAAGGAATATACCCAGTTCCAATGTTCAAGTCTTGTTAAATACGTTTTGATTTGACCCAAGCAAGACACAGATACATGTAATATGATATTGTCAAATATAAAACCTATATTAATAAGAACTTACTAAAAACATAAACCATATCAATTGACCGCACCAGAATGAGATGCATATTTGACAATGCCAAAATATTGAAAAAAACAGCTAAAATAACTGTTGAAGAGCTGGACCTAAAGTAAAACAAAATCAGAACAAAAAATCAGAGAAATAAAAAAACATAACGAAATCATCAACATGTCACAGTATAAAAAAGGATGGAAACGGGGTAAGTGTCAAAGAGAACAATTAACCCAACCCAAATGTAAAAAAACAACCTAAGACCACCGATACCTTAATTTTGCTATTGATACATAATTACTTAGTTGATTAGTTTTTCAGTTCTTTTTATTTTCAAATTGGCATCACTGTATGCATTCAAATGTAAACATTGTAACCAATTGTAAGATAAATAAACTGAAGTGCACAGCTACGTACTTAAAGAAATGACACCTCTTTTTAAATGAACACATTAATCCATGCACTGAAAAAAAGTAAGAATATACTTAAAACAGTAATGAAATATTCCGTACAGATACAGTACTGACTTAATCAGTATCATAATGAAACAGTACTGAAGAAATCAGTACTGAAAAAGTACTGACGAAATCAGTACTGAAACAGTACTGACAAAATCAGTACTGAAACAGTACTGAAACAGTACTGACGAAATCAGTACTGAATTTATAGAATTAGTAATTGTACAGTTTTTGTATAATAATAAACAGTACTGAATTAATAGAAAGTATAACATTACAAGTTTTTAGTCTCGCCGAACAGTACTGATATGTACGAGGGTAGAAATGTACCAAAAAAACGTTGGTAAATTCTTGGTAGTGTATGCCTTTGGTCTGGTTTTTAAAGACAACGACAATTAGTCCGTGGTACTCATAGCAATTTCTGGCTGTCTGTCTGTCTGTCCGTCCTGTCTATATCGTATTATAAGTCAATTTTGCCTTATGCGATATCAATCTTTTCTAAAAGCAGTAATTATTTCTATTCGAGGAAGATCCTCGGCTATGTTTTGTTAAGAAAAGGATTGGTCAATTTTGGAAATAACTCTTTCTTTTTGTTTATATCAAAAACTCAATTTTTAAGATATGTCTTTTTGAGCTAGGATTTCAATGGACAATGGTAATAGATTTTTTTACAAATTAAAAAAAAATATATGATTTTATCTTTACATGCTGTATGTGCTAGGATTTAAACAACAATTGATATTTAGGTATAATATTGAATTCCAAAACGATTCCGATGGTGAATTTTTCTATAAATCAATAAAAATAGTTCTTGATACAAAAACTACAATTTTAACAAACTTTATTCAAGTTTCAAGGACTTTTCATTAAATGAAAATCACTAAGTTTTGTTTTATGATTGTAAACGAAAATTGAAACAAAGATATTATTTCCATTTCGAATTGATTCCCGGTGTCAAAAGTTATCCTTTGCCTGCCATTTACGGAATGACCGTCAAAAAGCATGCACAATTTCAATGAAGAAATTTTATAAGTACATAGAACATATATCCCGAAATATCTCTTGGTTTAAAATGGTTGTGTTTAAACATTTCAATGCTATGCAAAGTCTAAATAGTGGTGGTGGAAACAATGAATGATACGAGTCCTGCTTTATTGTTTTAGATTCGCCAAACTGAATTTTTTTAAGTTCGATCTGTAAAATTGTTGACAGTTTGCAGGATCACTTTATCCAGACATATGGTTTTCTCATAGAGTTAGACAATTTTAACTTTTATTACTAGTGCAGGGTGCATGCATCACCAGGCAAGTGAATCCGGACTAATTACGATCGGGAATAAAACACAAGCAATTAATTTACAAGCAATTAATTTACAGACAAAATTAGGGAATCGATCAAACAACAATCGAAGATCGTACGTCCGTATTTTTACCACATAGATCAATGCGTAAACATTCAAAGTATTTTAAGGGAAGACTTATAGACCTCCTCTATCTTTGTGCATTCGCAAATACATTAAGCATTATAGATACAAGGATAATAATGTTTCGACGAGTTAGGCTCCTGTTGGCATTATTATCTTATATGTCTTGAATGTCTAGGTATGATTGCCTCTTAACATGGAAAATTTGTGTTTATATATTCAAATAATAACTTTTAACATGTAAGTTGTAATTTTTTCTTTCCTCTGTGAGTAACCACGATTATACTACTTGGATATAATTAAAGCATTTTTTGTTGTTTGGATTTTTTCTAAGGATTTGTAGAAAATGAGGAGGTAATCAATTACCAATTACACCAACGACAAAAAAAGTATGATCTTACTAAGATGTCACCCGAATTGATCAGTTAAAGTACACCAATTAGTAAAAAAAATCTAATTTTCTGATGACTAATATAAAAGTTAGATGTGGTATGATTGCCAATAGTAAAACTACACAAAAGATACCAAATAACCCAGATGTAAGAAACAAAATGTCACCGTACGGTATTCAATAATAAGCAAAACCTGAACAGGTTTGGTCACTCACTACTTTCGCCATCAAAATAACGCGTTGCTTGATCTTGTATAATCAATTTTGATTTAAAATTAAGAATTTTTTAAAACAATTTATCTTAATTTTTGTGAAGGAAAACATCAATTTCATTTTACTGTACTAATGTATGTGACATAAACTATTTTGTTTCAAATATATCATGAGTTATTGGAATGTGACCATGATTAATCCTAAACGTGGTTGTTTTTAAATTATTTGTTTAGAGTAATGTGTCGCCTTTGGTGTTTTCTTAAAAAAGTACCGCAGATTTTCCTATTCCTTAGTACACAGTATCATCCAGGTAGTTTTTAACAGACATACTTCATTTTTTTTCTGATTTTTTCCATGTTTGGATAATACAACGGATATTTTGACAGATCTTGGGATTGAGTTGCATTTAATTAATTCACGATGCGACACTAGATCATTCAAGATCCATTCGGAATGCCTGATCACCGTAACTTATTTTTTCAAGATCATTTATATCGATATACCGAATGATAGCCGTGTATAACGATTTCGGGACAGAAACTTGCCGTCCCAATTCTGGGTCAGAAATTACAATGTTTCCTTTATGAACTGCATCTGACGTCTCTCAGCCACAAGTCCAAAAAGGATGTAACACGTCAGAGTAATTATGTGCTACTGACTTTTAATCTATTCATTAAATGGTAAAATACAAAATTAGGTAAATTGTGTGTGAGTGTAAATACAATTTGAACTATATGAATAAAAGGAGATGTTGGATATACATCAATGAGACTGCAACACAATGACAAAAAAATTAACACCAAAAAACGCTTAGATATAAACTTAGTCTTCAACAATGGACAGAATTGATTCATTTTAGATTACTTGTATTATGTGTCCTTATTTTGTTTACACAAAAAAGGTCTTTGACATAAATTCTATTTTTTGTTCAATCTTAACTAACTGAAAAGGGATAACAGAAGTTACTTACTATGCCAATTAATGACTACTTGTGATTTTTTTCCAGGATAATGACATGAAAAATGTTGGTAAAAGGGCGAGCGGATTTGGTTCCATTATCACTGACATTGTAGACCCAATAAGATCTGCAATTAGCCTCTTCAAGAAAATAATCCAGGGAACCCTATCAATAAAAAATGTTTTCCAGAATTTTGTTAGAGTATTTGAAGAACTTCCATTAAAGGTAAGAAAATAAATTTCTTAATTAATATTCGCTATATGAACCAAAGAGAGATTTGGTCTGTGATAAATCAATTAAGAAATATTAATTGTAGGTTACTATATTCGTTTTGTTATAAATTAGGCCGTTAGTTTTCTCAATTGAATTGTTTCATATTTTTCATGTCGGGGCCTTTTATAGCCGACTATACGGTCTGGGTTTTTCTCATTGTTGAAGGCTGTACGGTTGCCTATAATTGCTTACATCCACTTCATTTAAGCTTTGGTGGAAAGTTGTCTCATTGGCAATCATACCAAATCTCCTTATTCTGATATCAAGCTTACCACTAGCGCTACAACCACATTTTATGAAACCCTGCAGCTGACAATCACACAGAGAAACTTTACTGACAACTTTTCTTAAGGATATTTCATTGTCAAAATTTACAGATTGAATCAAATTATTATCAAACAGTTCAAACTGAATTCTGTTGAAAAGCCGGCTAAGTATTCCGTCTTTAATTTCTAGGTTATAAACGTGCTCTTCTTTTCCAACGTCTATTACGTTAAGCTGTTCCCTTTTCCGCGAACACATTGAAATTGGAATCAACACATTTGCTCCCACTTCCACCTCTGTCGAAACTCTTTCTGATAAAATCTATCACAGCTTATTTGCATAGAGTCTGATGCATGCCTTCTTTCCTTTGCTATTATCTCTTCATTTGAACACAGGTGACAAGTTATAGTGTCAGGTGTGTATGTACAGTGCACAAGTCCAACAATGAACATTCTAAAACATTGATTTTCACTAGCAACACGCAAATGAATATCCAGTTCTGTTCCTGAGTTTCCAATTGATTCAACTCTGTATTAGGCTAGCTTACCTGATCTTGCTTATCAGAGTTTACCTCATCTTGCTTATCAGAGCTTACCTCATCTGGCTTATCATATATTTCAAGATGCTGAAGCAAATTATCTTAAGACTTTAAAGACCAAAGAATCTACTGCGGTAGTGATGGTGACGATAATCCTATCTTCGCACCAAAGCCAAACATGGCCTTGTATGGTGATATGTTAATACCGGAGTGATGATTGTTGTTTTTCTCAAACTGCACACATTTCAACCCTATATTCTAATTTGAATTCACCATCTCGGATTGACTGCATATCGACTAGGTAAACCTGCGCTCTCTTTCAGTCCTTACTATTCAACGGCCTTTACTTGCAATTTTCCTTTTATGAAACTCGTATATAGTGCTAAGAACCAAAACTCACAAACAGAGTTCGAATTTTGGCAGTGAGTCACTTACCGTTCTAGAGTTATGCCTCTTTATAACATGGACAGCTGCAAATTTTTCAGTTTATACTCTCTTAATTAGGTTTATCTGACCCTAGGTTTATGAACTCATATTCAATGCTGAAAACTAAAACACGCAAGTAGAGTCAGAATCCGGGCAGGGAGTCATTTACCGTTTCGAGTTATACCCCTTTTAAACTTTAGAAATTGCAAAGCTTGAGCGGAAGCATTCGTGTCCTCAGAATCATTCTTCTTTTAATTTAAGTTGAAATTCTTTGCACATTTCTTTGAACAAATTCAAAGCATCTCTTGTCACATTTGCATACTTCCTGTTGACTACTTTTAACATTTATTTTTATTTCTCACCATGTCCAGTGTTCAAATGTGTTCTGTTACAATGCTGTATATTTCCTCTGCATATGCATAATGCAACAACAGATCTGTCAATGACTGTCGTTTTTTTATCAATTTTTCTACATCACCGCATTGTAGCACATCAAATCCGCAAATTAATAGTAGTGTAAATTTGTCTATTTATAACTTTTTTCAAGGGTGGCCGTATACAATTAGCTTCAAAGAAACGACCGGACAGGGTCACGATAACGAAACATTTATTTATAACAGGTAGAGAAAAACAACAAATAATAAATCCCTCAACATTAGGTTTGAACGACTAAAAAAAGACGAAGTTAAAATAATAATTCTTAATACTTTGTCAATTGATTGTTGCATACGAAACGTCCAGTGGCAAATACTTCATGCATTTCAGTACGGACATTGTGGAGAACTATTAAAATAGACTCGCTAGACAAGATCTAGCAGAAAATCAAGTTACTCTGTATATGCATGTGTTAATGTCCTTATATGACTTGACCATTTGCTAAAAATATTCCGTAAGTGCATCCAATTTTTATTTTGCATATTTATTTAGGTGAGCCATTCGGGCTCCTAAGAGCCTGTAGTTTTTTCATTAACTGCTTGTTATGAAAATTGTAAAACAATCTTAACGCTTGACAGCAGAAATCCATCAACTTTTGCATTATGGTAATTATCAAAAGAAATTTAAGAATGCTCTTTTATCCCAATCTTGATTTTGTTCAAAATAGTTTCATAAATTGTCTTTGTTCCATATAACACACTTCTGATTGGGATATATGTTTTCTATTAATTGGTTTGTAAATCTGTGTTCTGTTGTAAGAACAATTTGCCCTTCTGCCATGAAGAGAAGATAATAAATTGACCTTCTCAAATAAAGAGTGAGTGCATACTCAAACTAGTTTATCTATGAAGTTATTATAGACATTTTTACTAATAAAACCTTAAAAATTTACCTGCAGGCTTCATTCAATAAGAGTAATATTTGTTTTTTAATGAACATTGTTTTCTTTGCCCTTACAGATATTTTTTTCATCTGTTTCAATGTATTTAATTCCAACCAATTTGCCTGAACCTGAACAGGCAATTTATTAAATATGCTTTAGAATTGTAGGCATTTTATAAAGTGACTAGGTATTTTTAGGCATTGTATAAAATGCCTGTCAAGATTAGGCATTTTATAATATGGCTAAAACTTAAGTCTTTTTACAAAATTTAGAAATTTAGAAATTACGTGTAACATATATATTAAATTCAAAAAATCTCATTCTGAATTAGCTTGAATGGATTGATGTTGAAGGACATGTAACGTATTTCAGGAAAATTGTTATGATTTATGTATCATTTGTCAACTCAACATCTGTATTGATATGCCTAGTTAACATATCAATAATTGGCTGACAGGAAGACAGAAGACAATTCGATAGTGTATTTAACTTGAGGCTGACAGGTCTACTGGACAGTATATTTAAACATTGGATTGACAGGTCTACCGTTTACAAATCAACATTGTATTAAACTCCATTGTTTTGAAGCTAAAGTTCAATTCCTTTTCAATTTTTACTAAAAATATTTATTTAAAACTTATCTTAATTAAGAACTGTTAATGGTATTCATTGTAGATGTTTGGTTGTTAATTTATATAAGGTGGTAATGAAAACTTTGTACCATATGCTCATTATATAAGAATGCCTTGAAAATAGCACATGATCCTTCTGTTTGCGTGTTTTCTTGCTTTCAGTTCTTATTCAATATCTTAATATTGTTTTCTTAAAACGTTATGTCTATATGACATTTATGTTCGTTAATGATGTTGTTATTCCTCTCCTAATTTCGCAATATAGGGATGTTCTATAAGGGTTTTTAACCAATTTAGTGCTCTGTTTAATTCCATTCAGGAAATGGCGCTCAATTCTTGTAGCGTCGGACAGAAAGCGGAATGTCACAGTATTTTTATCCTATAACCATGGAAAATCAAAGATGAAGGCCAAAAGAATCCTTATTGCAATGAACGATTGCAGTAGGAGTCAAATGACACAAGCCTGGCCCAAGAACAGAAAGATCAATGATTATAACATTTTCGTTTAATTAAAAGAATATGCAACATCATTAATCTGTAAAAATATATACATTTTCCAAACTTAACCTATTACAGTACCGTGTACATAAACACATATGTTTTCCGTCAACTGTTAACCTGTTAACTAGTAAAACAGTTGATAATTTTTTTAACATGTAAATTATCTGCCTATCAAATATCAACCTAGCAACCTGTCAAAAGAATTCCGTACACTCCATTTGATCCCATTTGTCTTTGCAGATAGCAAACTTAAGATCCAATGCAAGGAAGTTGGTTGATCAGATTGGATCTATAGATGAAAGTCAGCTTCCACCATTTATAAAACCAGTGAAGAATCTTGTCGAAAAAGTTCAAAATGTTCTTAACACAGTAAAAAGTGATATACTTGGATTTTTTAATGTAAGTAATAAAGTGAAGTATATTGCCTTTACGTTAATGTGACACAAACAAAAAAAATGATAACCTCCTTAACCTGTCGCAGTCAATATATCTATTTCAACTTGTCATTAAAATCTGTGTGGATATTAAAAGACAACGTTTTCTATGAATTAACTTATATTCTATATAACTTATGATAAACTTCTAATTATCAAACCTTATCGTAATCATAATTAAACAACTGTTCATTTACGTTTCAATCGATTTATTTATTGTTAACATAACTTACACATGCTTAGTAACTTCAGTCCTGTTTATTTCAAAAAGATGGTCTAGAGAATTTTTCCAAATCTAGTCCTACTAACAAGAAGTAGAGATTGGTTTAGAGGACTCGACGACAATGACCTATCTGCAAATTACATTAATTTTATTTGACTGTTAGTTGTGAGACTTGAGAGAACCTAAAATGAAATTTATCAATTATCGATCATTTGTAGATTCAAATTCAGCGAAATTTGATAAAAAAATTGTGAATGATTCCCTATACAATTCCTTTCAGTATTGATTTTCATGCAAAACTATGTATACATTTATCTTGTATGTTGTATAAACATATAAAATGATGTAAAAGTGTATAATTTTTTATGTTTAAGAAATTGATGCAAACAATAACAGTAACAATACCAGACAGTGGGCGTCAAATATTTGAATCTATGAAAGAAATCATTGAAGGATTTGGAAATATTGTAAGAGATCCTAAGACTGCACTGGCAAAAATTGGAAAAGGAGCTGTTCAGTATGTTAATATCTGTTTTAGAACATAAGCTACTTTGTAACTAAAGCAAAAATAAAGAAAATTATGTTATATATCTGTGGTTTAGATGTCATGTACTGATATGAATTTTTTGGAGGATAAATTTTCAATAAAACAGCACAATTTTCTCTGTTCTTGAAAAAAATTGAACTATCTCAAATGGACTTTCCAGACGATAACGAACGTTTGCATTGAAGAAGGACTTTACAACTTTAAGTTTGTATACCTTCTTTTAAGTTTGTTTTTCACTTTTGCTGTCATTCTTGCTCAAGAGCTAAGAAAAAAAATCTTTCTGAAGAAATTAATCATGTTCATTGGTATTTATAATGGTAGCCTTTGAAATAACAAAGTAAGAATTCGCAATACTTCATTTTACAGAGCAAACATATATTATTGAATTCCAAATCCATGTTTGCACACTGGTACTCTAAGGTTGTTACTTTTGTCATTTTTTTACAGGATATTTATGTCTGTTATGGCATTAATAGAAGCTAAAAATACCATCCAGGAAGCTTGTAACTTTGTGAAAGGTAATATCTAAAAGCATAGTTGCTACCTCTGGCAATGAAAAATCATGACATAAAATGACAAGCTAAAACAAAATGCGTGTAAAAACGTTTGCGTACTTCTTTGCTTGGAAAAACATAAAATCAAAGGCTGATAATGGTTTGACTGCTTGTAAACAACAAGTTCCAAGTAATTTTAATTTTAAATGTCTAATTTTATCCCTTTTGACAAACAACTGAGGTAAGTATAAATATAGAAAAGATACGAGGGTGCAAAAATGAAAAGAAATGTAATGGGCTCATGATCTTTTTCTTATCAAGGGCCGATCAATGTTTTTGTTTTTGCATCCTCACTTTCTTTTATTCGCGTTAAACTCTGATTTCCGAATATTTATAAAAGTAAAAAAAAAAAAATTCCGCTTAAGCTTTCTGTCAAGAATACGATCTCTTCAAAGCACTGGGTAAAACTTTGGAGCTGAAGCCAGGGTAATATAAGTAATGGAATGGGAAACCATTCGCGACCTTGATGTAAGTAGTCATCAATGAAAAAAATCCAAAAATCTCGAACCAAAAGCCAATAAATAAAAACTAAAAAAATCTTAGAATTACAACAGTGTACGAGAATTCGTGTGCTCGTATGTTAATACATGTAATGGGTGTTCATGAAATGATGAAAATATCGTATGTAAACAACTGAAAATGCGTGTACAACACGCATGTTAGTTGTAAACTATGTGTAAAAAATCGATATTTTCCTTGTTTATTTGTCTGAAAGTTGTATGAAACATGTGCCTGTATCAAGGTTTAGTTTTCATCCTATCTAAATGATGGATGATGAATGTCATGTGATTTCAACACAAATTCTTGTAACGTGACAGGAGTGCCTAGTTAAGCAAGAACTGCTATAGAAACCCTGATTATTGGTAGGGCTTTTGAAAGTCATAAATGTAAATATACCTCGTTTGTGTTATCATAATAGAGAACTTAAACATTCTTTACAATAAAAAAACAAACTTTTTGCTGAGTCACAAAAGTTAAGTGCAAGAATACTTGAATAAGTCAATATTTGTACTTGTGTTAACAAATATCTATATTCAAACACTTGTTTTACGGAAGCAATTGGTAGCATTGCATGCAGTAATCCTCTATAGATTGATAAAGAAATTGTCAAATGTAAGAGAACAAGGGGGATTTTGATTTTCTATAACGTTTTCATATCTTTAGCATAAAGTGCTAGTCTGCCTAAGGATCAGGTAGTGACCAAAACATGAATGTCTCAGATTTTGATGAAAACTTGCATAAATCATCTGAATTACATATTTTAAAGAAAAAAACATTTTTCAGACCAATTAGATATGGTTGCTATGGAAACAGAGTCATTGGATTTTTTCAAAGCAACAAGTATTGGAGGTTAACATAAAACCCACAGTTTTCCACTTTTTCAAACTCATGAAATTTGCTGTTTATATAAAATTTAGTATTTCTCCATTGTACTGCAACTTTTTCAACTATCAAATAATCTTGAAGAACAGCTGTTTTGATGAAATTCTATTTCAATCTAGAAATAATGGGGTACAGATGGTCTCTAGGGACCATAATGTCCAAAAAAGCCAAAAATGGCCAGAAATGAAGTTCAAATATTTTCTATTACCAGAACAACACATACATTGTGTTACCTGATATGGAACAAGTAGTAGTCATACTTGCATTATTTCATAAAAGTTCGGTGGGTTTTTTTTCCAAATAATGTGTAACCATAGCAACATAGTTTACCCTATAGCAACAAAACTAAAACACAAATTGTAACAAATTTATTCAATATTAAAGTCTGAATACATATATATGGAGTAATTATGATTTATTTAAGTTTTTCACATTAGAGTGTTGTCAATTGTTTCCATTTTTGCCAGGAAAGTATTACATATCAACCAAAAAATGTCCAAAATGAACAAACTAAAAATCATACCAAAATAGACTCCTTCCTTCCATGCCAATAATTAAAAAAACAAAAAAACAAAAATATTATAACTCTAGCAACTTGTAATACTTCTTTTTACCTAAAGATGTTTTTAATAAAAATCGAGGTAAAGCCATTATAAATATTGAGATGGGTTCTCACTATACCCCCCCCCCCCCCTTTACTAAAAACTGGCTATTCAAAATCCTTGGCTATCTTTAAAATTTTCACGTACCCTGATTTCTAATTTCTATTTCTAATAAGTTTCCATCGTGTTGCTTTATTTTTGTTTAACGATTTGATAAGAATTTAATTTTATATTTTTATTTGATTTCGAGGATAATCTAAAAAATCAGTTAAGTATATATGGGCCTAAAACTTTTGTTTGTTTCAAAAAAAAATTTTTTTGTGTAACATCAAGTTCTGAAGTGCCAAAAGGAAACATTTTGAACTTTTACCAAGTTTTTTTTTTCAGGTTAAAATAGTTTAACCTCATTGATGATCATATTTGAATTAACTTAATTTATAGGATTGATCATAATATATTTTTTATACATAATTGATAAAGTTCAATTAAAATAAACACAAATTCACGTGTTACTCAGTGTGTACCACATGATTGCATTCTTTTCTTTATGAACCTAAAATATGTTACTTGTACATATATATATATATATATATATATATATATATATATATATATAGAGTCTATAAGAACCTACCAACCAGTAAACTTAATAGGTATTGGATCATCAAAATTGACAATACTACACAAACAGGGAAAATTATATGAGTCTAAAAGATTGTGTAACAATACCGATAAATAGATGGAAAACAAAAATACAACTCGTCTAAACATCAATGTTAGATCTGTAAATTTGCTTTCGCAAGTTTTTTTTTATTCTTCCCTCGCCGGGATTGGAACTCATGCTACTGAGATATCGTGACACCAAATCGCCTGCACTGTATCCGCCGCACTAGACCACACGACCACCTAGGCTATATGATAAATGTTGTACGTTGCTGTCTGTCAAAAATTTTTTTTTTCGTTTGATTTGTTTCACATTTTGTCAGGTTGGGGTCATTTATAGCTGACTATAGGTTGAACTTTGTAAATACAGCTGTTTCTCAAACCACGCCTCTTTTGGGGAGATATAGAATATTCATAGATAATTAATTTTGTTTACATACTGGTTCTCAGTTATGCTCTCTATGTTTCATCTCATAGAGACACAACTTGGGAATGTTACCAGTAAATATACATATGCATATTGTTTATATTGAAATCTGTGGTAATCCTACAGTCAAGGTAGATATAGTTGAGAAATTTAGTGTTAGTTTAAACTCTTAGAAGTTCGGGGCATATAAACGTTGAAAATATGCCGCACAACCCTATATTTTGACCTTTGAAAAAAATTGTAGTGCATATGAACTTTCCATTCTAGGATATGATTTCTTTCAAAACTTCATAGTAAAAGTGGTACAGTTTTAGCCGTAAAAGGAGTTCCTATGGGAAATTGCACTGTCAATATTTACAGAAATGCAACCTATACATTATTGGTTTAACTCATTGTTAAATGCCGTGCAGTGACCTATACTAGGATTTACTAACAAAATGTAAATATGCCTAATTTGGACTCTTTTTGACACTTACATGTATCGCATTGAAAATCATACCAAATCTCCTTACTTTAAATTGTGTTATGCACTTGTATGCTCTTATTAAGTTGGATCAAATTCATGGCAATATATCTAATACTCTGAATGTACTGGTTTAGGGCTATCCCATTTCCATGTGCAGTATATGAAGTGAACCACACAAAATCTGGTCAAATAACCAGTTTGGCATATAATTAAAAATATGTAGGTAAAATTGAACATATAACAATTTTCGAAAACAAAAAAAAAAACCCCCCAAAAAAAAAAATTAGAAATAGTTGCATTCATTAGTTATCGTGATTCTTAATTACTGACCAAAATAAGCGATTAACGAATAAATCTTAGAAGACAACACGGTTCAACTAGGTGGCAAGTAACTCAGCTACGACAAGTTACTTTTATTTCACTTTTATTTGTTGTAAATCAATTTATTTGCGGCCCGCAGTATGTTGGAAGTAACGCATAAACATAACGTTCTCGCTGCCGCTATTCATTGTAACGTCACCTAAATCATGTAAGTGTGACGTATTGATATTATAGTTTGAATAGAGATCGATACATGCTAGACGACTTTGTTATTGTTAGCCAATAGTTGCCCGATTAACCCACTTAACGATAACAGGTACTAGAGCGATTGGACCAAAGAAGAAAATGAATTAGTGCAAATGTGAATCAGGGCGAACGGACCCGGATTTACAAAATATGAGCCCCCCTTTTTTATATTCATGTTGAATCATTTTTAATTTCACAATAAAATAAGGGAGGAGGGAGGATAGTGTATTCCAAATGAATATGATATTAAATGTTTACACTAACCTTCGATTATATATAAATGGTGTACATGGTCTAATTGGCACAATGTTTCCGTACACCCAAGAAAAGGCCCTGGTCATTTGGATGGTAGCTGCTCTGTCTGGCTTTGGTCTTCTCTTGTGAGACGGTTGTGCAGACCAAACCTTTCTTCTCAAGCATATCCCTAAGTTGTAATGGTGTCTAAACAAACGAAGTACGATTGTAAGTTAGAAAAGATCCCAACACAGAAAAGGTCAAATGTCCCTCCGACTTGATTTTGCATATGTTAATCATAGATTTGCTAAGTAGTTATCAACAATTTTACTTCATTGTCCAATAAGGGTGTTGTCTTTTTAATCCTTAAATTACTGTGAATAACCACATTCATCGCAAGAAAAAGGTTAAAAAACTACTTTCTGCATTGTCTGACAACATGCATGATATCCATATTGTTTAGATTAGAGTTCTGCTATGGGAAATTACTCTGTAAATTTTGTTCTAGCATGGAAAAAACAACAGAATCTTGGGAAAGGAATTTTGACAATCCGACAAAATAGAAAAAAAAAAAAAAAAAAAAAAAAAAAACACGAGACGGAAGCTTACGTCTGAAATTGATATTTTTACAGTATCCATTTTTGCAATCATTGTGATTGTGCAGTTCTGGTAATAAAAATCGTTTGAAATTGAAATTGGCTGAATTTACATAGGATATATAGTAAACATATAAAACTTCGAAGTGCCAATACATAATACTGCAAGCAATTTTCAAAAATTTAATGATACATTTCTATTTTGACTGACTTAAGGTATTATATTTCATACATGTGAGGAATATTCAAAATAGGTCATGTTTTAGAAATTTACGAATTTGCATGATTCTTAGACAGACTGGCACTTAAAACAGCAAAATGGTACAATGTACATAATCCGTAAGGCCGCCTTGATTTTCATTACATAATACCTAGTTTTTTTCATAAAAGAACATATATATCAGCCAAGGTTGGTTTAGACAGACCGTATGGTTTAGAGATTTTACTTGAAGCTTCCAATTTAGATCTTCTAAACGAAGTTTGTTTATTTTTAATCTTCTGAATGATTGTTTAGGAGATCCTCCAGAATGGTTTGATTTAAGTAAATATTTTGAAGAAGTAAAAGGACTACATGATTCGGTGAAAAATGTGTTGGAGAATGAAGCTACAGAATGGATGCAAGAAACGTTCATTGAAAGTGAAGACTCAGTTTACCAGCTTACTAAAGGAAAATTCACCACGGTTTGTACAAACTTGTTTTAGCGTTTAGAAGGTATTCATGTGGTATAATTTTCAAAGATTTTTTATTGAATATCGATAAATTTTATTTAAAAAAAATTGATAAATTTCTGAAATAGATGATGAATCTAAATATAAAAAATCGAAAGCAGATTCGTGTCCATGTTTCTTTGTAGGGTATTATATCTCTAGAAATTTGATATATGATTTCATTGATCTTCAGTTGTTTATTGCTTTTTTAAAGTCATGCTAGGAACATTTCTTTTAGGATAAACAGAATGTTGCTGCTTCATATTCTATAATTTTGATGAACTATGTAAAATAAACTGTTGAAAAGAACTTGAAATAGGTAGAAATTGTGAAATAATTCTAATAACATTACAATTTAAGCAAACAATGAGAAGGGACGTGGTTTCACGATTAAGATCGACTGTTGACGAAGTATTAGACCCTTTCAGTATGTTGAATAACATTGCGCAACCATTCATTGCTGCTTATGAGTCCGTGTTTGGTATAGTGAAGGCAGTGAAAGATGCTTACTATGCTTTGAAAGATGGGTATGGTTATTAGAATGTAGAAAAATGGGTGTGGTTATCACCATATGTAGAAAAATTATGTCGTCATTATTTGTAGAACAATCCGAATGGTTATCAGTATATAGAAAAATAGGTATATTTATCAGTATATGTATGTAAATGAATGTGGTTATTGTTATAAATACAAAAATCACTGTAGAGTGTAGTTATTGGTATATAAAGGGAAAATTACTGTAGTTATTGGTATTTATGCTTTCCTCGTACAACCCAAACAAACCCCAGAGGTTCAACATTAACTTCTATGAGTCAGCAAGTAGCTTATGTATTTTACATTATATTGTGCAATTCATAAATGAAAAGAGAAACAAGAAGGTAAATTACGAAATTTTTACTTATTTATAGTACATTTTTTTCTCATATAAAGATAAACAATATATGCATTGTACATATACATTTGTACAACAAGATAATAATGAATGAAAAACACAATAATGCAGAATACAATAGCTTGGCCTAGGAAGGGGTCAACTAAGCCATATAAAAATATTGAAATGCTAAGTGCATAATAACACCTGCAACACAAGCATTCAGAAATGAAGATGATCACAACCTAAAATTGGTACATCTACAAAAATACATTTGTAATGGGCAAAAAGTATAGATGAACGTCTAACAAACATTAAAAAATAAACAAAAAGAGCTTAAGGTGGTGAAAGGGGATGGAGGGAGGGAGAGGAAATTTATAAAACCCCAAATAAAAATCTTGTTTACAAAATATCGATCTGCAGATCAGCAGAAAAATGTAATAAGATACATTGTGTAGAAACTGACCAATGGTCATCCAGCAAAAAGATCCAAATGCAGGGTTTCCAAAAAAGTTAGGAAAATGTAAATTTTCAAACAAATTAAGGGTTTCCTTCGTCTGCATAAAATAGTTATTAAAATAACTTGCCTATATAGAAAAATGAGTGTTAATATCAGTATATGTATGAATTACGATATGGTAATTAGTATATGTAGAAACATGGGTGAGATTATCAGTTTGTGTATGTAAATTCATGTAGCTATTAGTATACGAAGACACATGGGGTGTAGTTTTTGGAATAGATAAATAAAAAGTGTGTTTATCGGTGAACAGCGGTATACTACTGTTGCCTTTATTTATCAATACTCTGTAAATGTAGAAATATGGGTATGGAATGCAGTATATATGGAAAAAGTGACGTGGTTCTCAGTATATAAATATAAGAAGATGTGGTATGAGTGCCAATGAGACAACTCTCCAAAATTTGTAAAAGTAAACCATTATAGGTAAAAGTACGGCCTTCAACACGGAGCCTTGGCTCACACCGAACAGTAAGCTATAAAGGGCCCCAAAGATTACTAGTGTAAAACCATTCAAACGGGAAAACCAACGTTCTAATCTATATAAAAAACGAGAAACGAGAAACACTTATGAACCACATCAACAAACGACAACTACTGAACATCAGATTCCTGATTTAGGACAGGTGCAAACAAATGCAGCGGGTTTAAACGTTTTAATGGTACTAAACCTTCACCCTTTTTCTGAAACAATAGTGTAACATCACAACATAGAAAGACACACTATGTTTACAAATGGTTATCAATGCATGTAAAAATGGCTATAGTTATTTGTATATGTATAAAAATTGGAATAGTTATTAGCATATGTAGAAAAAATTGACGTGGTTATCAGTATATGTAAAAAAAGAATGGATTTTGTTGTGAGTATATGTAGGAAAATGTGAATGGAGAAAACATTTGTCCATTATTATAGTCAATGAAAGATATTTGGAATTTGATTTTAACTAACAAAAATTTAATGAAAATACTATCAAAATTCCATACACTTCAATGTTATTTCGATTCCAGACATTTTTACGATCTGCAAGATAGGATGAAATCATCGAAGGTTTGTTTTGATGATTTAATTTAAAAAAAAAAACAAACCATAGTTGAGCGTACATAAGAAGTTAATAATCTAGACTTATTGTCCACAATTTACTATGTCAAAGTTGATAAACTTCTCTTAAGTCTGGATTTTGTATATTTCTACTGTGAAAAGTTAATCACAAAAATACTGAACTCCAAGGAAAATTCGAAACGGAAAGTCCCTAATCAAATGGCAAAATCAAAAGCACTAACACATCAAACGAATGGACAACAACTGTCATATTCCTGACTTGGTACAGGCATTTAATGTAAAAATATGTGATATATGCTTTGGGTTCCAGAAAAATCAACATCAGGTAATATTGTATGACTTTACCTATTTACTCAATATATTACAAAAGTAGTAAACATTCTCACGGAATGTAATACGAAAAAGTGATACGAAAAATGCGTTAACTTAAGTGGCTAAATAAAGGCAACAGTAGTATACCGCTGTTCGAAATTCATAAATCGATTGAGAAAAAAACAAATCCAGGTTACAAACTAAAACTGAGGGAAACACATCAAATAGAAGAGGAGAACTGCGACACACAGAAACACAACATTAAAATGTAACACACACAGAAACGAACTATAATATAACAATGGCCATTTTCCTGACTTGCTACAGGACATTTGAAGAAAAAATGGTGGGTTGAACCTGGTTTTGTAGCTAGCCAAACCTCCCGCTTTTATGGCAATGTCAGATATAACATTAAAATGACAACAACATCATGAAACGATAGTTTGACATTTCCACTGGCTATTCATTAGGTAATTAATAACTTTCAAAATTGAAAACTTTGTACATTTCCTCCTTGATAACGGAAATATACATTCGCGTGTCTTTATACATATGCATCAAAAAATAAATTAAACCAGTCAGAATAACACGCAATTTTTAGATCGCACATACTATATTTACTATTTTGATTTCAATAAAAATAAATTGTTGTAAATTATAAAAATATCCAAGTTTTCTTATTATATAATAATATATAATTCTTGTTGGATTGCTCCTTCATTTCTAAACGGATCCTTTTCAAATTTATACGAAGGTTTCTATTCATTAAAAATCTTGGATGAATTTGATATTAAAACATCTTACATGAGATACAATTGTCGGGAGGAGGACCTGTAAAGGTATACCTATATAAATTTTTGATTCATTGATGGTGCATTTTTCATTTTCTCATTTAGAAGGAGGTTTCAGCTCATTAAAACCTTGGAATAGTATAACAATTAAGGAAGCATTATTTTTGGAGGGGACTTGAAAAAAATCATTTTAATTCTTGTCCTAGGGATAGAGCCTTCATTTCTTCTCAGATCTTTTTCACCTTCAGATTTGTAGGTTACGTTCTTTAAAGTATTATAAGAGTTTGATAATCAGAAATCATCTGACATGTGATACCATATTTTTCTGAAGGGGGACTTGTATAAACATCCCATATATTGATAAAATCACTGGTCAAAGGGATAGGGATTTCAATGTTTATAAGATCCTTTTACAATTTTGATGAAAGTTTCAGCTTATTAAACTATGAATGTATGAATTCGCTCACTGAAGGGTTTTCATTACTTTCCAAGTAATTTACATTACAGGGACCCCGTTGGACGTTAGAAAGATATGATTTCATGTGTAGTTTTTGGAATGATATCAATAATTGGTGAATTTTAATGCCTGGTATTTAGCTCATATTGTTATGTTTATATTTGCATTATATTTGCAAATACTTGATATAAGATACATTTAACCACTTACCTGTATTTTCACTTAGTTATTGCTTTTACCAGATGTTTTATTTTTTAAGCTATCATTTAGCACTGTCTGCCATAAACAAAATATTTGGAGCAAAAGCACACAAAAAGTTTCCAAGAAAGATTAGGTTGGCTGGTAATGGTTGTTATCGACTAGGTACTTACCCCAGCACTGGTGGTGGTGAATACTGGGCTACAGGCATAGATGTAGAGATAAAAGTTGGGGAAGTGGTATGTCTAATGGACATCTGTTCATATTTATTAACTCTACAGTGTTTGCTATTGTCAGTTTTATGGTGTTTACTATTAATATGTTAACTTTGGATACTGTCTTTTCTGAAAGATGTTTAACCACCTAGGCAACTAACACCAAATGGGCTACAATCATATTTCTTTTCTATTATCAACATATAAATGTAACCAATTTTCCTGTTAATCAACCAGAATAACCATCTAGACTAAATTAAAACAAATATGTAAAACCATTAAAAACAAACAAATACCTTACAAAAAACCTATGTAGGTCGAGAAGCAGCCTGGCTTTCGGCAATTCATGCGTTCATGATTCTTTTTTACAATCACATTTATTATTTCGTCTTTGTAAAAGATATAAGACGATAACAGTTCATTCTGTAAAATATTGAACAGGTTTAAGGCCGCAGGCCGTTGACATGTTCAATATTTTACAGAATGGACTGTTAGAGGCTTATATCTTACTTAAAACATTGTTTGACATGTGAAAAAGGTGAAAAAGCAAACAAATACATTTTTTTCAAGATTTATTTTCATCGAGTGTGTAAATTGTTTTAAGGATAAACTTAATTAATATTATCCTACAAGTAGGCCCCTTTAAACAGTAGCTCAACTGAAACAATAGACAACAAAAAAGTACAGTTGAATGTATAGCTACATGTACATGAAGACACAGTGCATGAGTATCATGTTTTTTGCGTGCGCTAGGACTACATTATATATTGTCCGTGAATACCCTCACATGCGTTTGGTATCTATAAAGTATATTCTTAACGCAAAAAAAGAAGAAAGTGATGTCGTATATCGTGATTGTGTTGTTTCAAACTTTGGATTAAAATCAAATGTGTATTCAGATATATCCGATTTCAGTGCGGACAACAAGGAGGATATAGTTATAACAGCTAATAATGGCAAGTTTTATATAATTTTAAAATATAGTCCTCTTTTAGTACTTCCCTATTCCTTCTGGGTTTTTATTTCTTATTAGGTGAATGAGAAAGAAAATAAAGAGAAAACACATGTAGTTTGAAAACAGGTTCGTGTTGCAGAAAAAGGTTCAACCATATCGAGTGTACCGCAGTCGATTTTATTTCAAATACAACACTATGAAATATAATGAATGAGCACAAATGAATAGAGATAAAAAGAATGCAATCAATTTAAATTCTTTTGTTTTTTCATTGGAATTTCCCTATCTTATATTATTTCAATGAATTTTAAGAGAATTATGATCAAAATATCATATCTTTTATTTGTAAAAATAAATTTATATAGTTATAATTTATAAATTCATCACCATGAAATGTCCGGAGATCAAGAAATCGATCAGACCTATACACAAAAAAGAGTTATTCACAATGTTCCCGATTGACGCAGGCCCCCTCCATTTACCTAGAATCGGCGGTTGTCTTGCAAGTTTACTCAAACCGTGCCACCTAAATACCCCCTCCTTTTTCTGTTTTTTCTGCAAGGTTCGTGTCGCTCTTTGCGTAGTTTATTTGCATATTGCTGTCCCTTGTGGTTTTGTTTTCATGTTACCGAAATATAATTTTGTCCCTCGATTTTGTTTTGGAAATAACGCTTTCTTTCTTTGTTTTTCTTTCAAAACAAAGCATTGCAAGTGTACATATTTTTGTTTCTGTGCTTAATGTATAATCATTGCATTTAATCAGTTTTGTCTTTGAGATGTAAATTAAAGTAAAGTGTTTGAAAATATTCATAAATACATTGGAAAAAAACCAAATGTTATTCGTATTTTGATGTTATGTATAGTAAAAATACTTGTACTAATATCCCCTTTTCAATCAATGCAATGCAGCTAAGGGTTTTATGTTCAAATGTATATAACGCAATTACAAACTGTCTATTACTTATTTTACAAACATATGATTAAATCTATCACCAACGTTTATTTAATTTCAAGAGAGTAAATCGGTTTCTAAAAAAACAAAAAACGATCACTTTACGAACACAGTGCGAATCGGACAAACGATTGATTGCTTTAATCTGCGGTAACGTGTTCTTTTTCTGTTCCCATATTTATCGTCGTTGATACGCAAAGTTTTGCTTTATATTCCTATACAGGCAATAATATCAGATTTTCTTACACAAAAAATACTTCCGAATCAACGCCGATATCTGACAATTATAAAAGCTGTTGGAGCCCCCTAGTTCGTTCATGAAGCAAGTTCTCGATTTGTACTTTGCACACAGGATGAGGTTAAGGCTATAAATCAAATTCTTGATTAGCTATTTTGTCAAAGGAACAATATGTGGCTTGCATATCAACACTTAGTAAAACATCTACTTCAGAAGAACGATTTTCTCCTAATTATGATAATAAAATTAGTTTACTTGTGGTCCTTGTATTGTGGCATGATCTGTCAAGTGTTAGACTCATTATTTTATCTTTTTTAATTTTTATTGTAGCTGAAAATGATGCTAGGAAGAATATGAGCAACACCATAGGTCGATTTTATATCAAAAGACTGACCAGGATAAAACTTTTGCAAATAAAAATATTTAAAAGCAACAAAAACAAAATTTACAACGAGCATCATCAACCAAATTTATGCTAGAGGAGAAAGAGAAAAATGGCCGTGAAATAAGTATTGACGCTGGCTGTGTTAAAATCAATTTGAAAGTTTTTTTCTTCTTTAAGAAACTGTATTGATGAGTGACGAAATTATTGTATTAGAAGATGACCGTAATAAAATGTTTTTATGTAATTGTCATTTGTTCTTTCGTTGTATGTTTTTTTATTATGAAGAAACAAATTGTGTGGAGTGATTGATTTTTTCAGTCCTTGAACTATCATTTACCTGTAAGAATCAATTATGCTACTTTCAGGTGTCAAATATGTTTAAGAAAGAGAAGGGTTATTCTTAAAAATGTTGACAGTTAAAGGTAACATAATGGTTTCAAACAGGTACATTCTAGTCTAATCCCTGAAATAAATAACGGGTACAACAATAGAATGACGTCACAACAATGTTTTAATGATATATACTATGGTTAGTTTCGTCAGATGCCATTTAGTATGTTCACTACTTTCCCTAAAAATAGAAAATTGAACAAAAGAAACTTTTCTTGTAATAGGCTTAGCATTTGAAGAAACAATGGGTTTTGATTCTAGACTATAAAATATGTGTGATGACTCCAATCATCATTAAAAATGGCACAAACTGTCAATTAAAAAGAAAACGTGACTAAAGTTTCAATAGATACAGTAAATCCGAAGTTCTGTGTTTTACTCGGTTTTGGTCCAGTAAAGATGGAGCATTAACTGTACTGAATAAAATGTATCTAGACAAATAAAGACCTTCATTTTTTACCCTTTTGAATATTGTCTCCCAACCACAAAATTGTTAGAATGTCCTTAGTATAAATTTTGTTACCCTCCTCCATACAAACTTTATGAATAGATAAAGTTGCTTTCTTTTACAAGGATTGTATTAATAAGCACTTTGCCTACATCTTTCGCCTCTCTTTTACATGTATATTAACATTTGGGTTGTTCTTCTTTTCTTTTTTTACCAAATAAACATTCCTATTTGGTACCAGCAAACGTGTATTTCAACAAGACTACGTTTAGGGTTTATTTCTAATAAATAACAAGGTAAGTGGGTCAAAAACTGGGAAAACTAAAAAAATGTTTTGACTTCACTGAAAACCAATGGCTCCAGCATCTGCTCTTTGTTTTATCTTTTGTTCTCCAAATATAGTTGGTTAAATATTCATGTTAAGTGTGTTACTGTGCTGGGGATTGTCACTGTTAATCCTTAACCTTATTCTATCTTTTTTTCTGTGAACTATCACTGAGTGCGATTTTAAACTATTTACATATAATACATTGGATGCTGTAATTAGTAATGAAGATAGACAATTTGATTAAATCTTCATTCCTGTCGTTTGTTTGTCTGAGAAACCACATTTGTTACGCTTTTCTCAAGTACTACTGAACTGAATGACTTTTCATTTGGTCTGCAGTTAGAAAGTATTTGATTTGAGCATGTGAGCACTCTTCAGATCTGGCAGGTACCTTAAGCGTACTCGTGTTTTCCAGTTATGAATAACGAATGAGGATAGGCTTAGCACGACAACGCATGCTTCTTTTTGTTTTTTTATCCTTTTAAACATTTTATTGATTCTAACAGTGTGATACAATATGGACACTCCAGTTAAAAAATTAGTTTGGATGTCTCTTCGATATTATGAACACGCGGAGATTGATGTATTTTACCCAAAAAGGCCATTTCACACATCTTTGTTTCGGAAATAAATTTTGAGCAAAATATCATCCAAAAAGATATTTAACCCACATACACATCTTTGTGCTTGCCATCCTGTAGCAAAGTGCATTTTAAGTAAAGCCTTTAATTATATCTAAATATTCATGAAATCATCTCTAAGTAATCATTGCATGGACGCTTGAACTCAGAAAGCAAATGTTTAAGATACATTTAAAATATGAATACTGATATCTTGACAGATTGATGTCTTAAAACATCAGAATGTATTACTTGATGGATTTATAATACTTTTTAGTTTTTAAATTCAATCGCCCCCCCTTACCCCCCCGCCCCGCCCCCCCCCCCCCCCCCCCCCACCAAACAAATTTCCATAATTTCACCTCAACATTTTCAAATGCAAACGAATGTTAGTATCTAGTCTTCATTTTCGATAATAATTTGATCTTATGATTACATAAATCCTACATCCAAATCAGATAAGAAGATAAATATTGGAAGGTGGAATACTTGAGTGTTTCTTGCGTGACATAGTTAAATATTGCACAATAATGATAACAACTCTGATAACAGATAGTGTCTCTATCTGAAGTATTTCTTTAAGTCATAGGTAATTACAAACTGATGATTACTAAAGGAAATGAAAACACTAGTATCTTGATTGTTTGTAAAACAATTGAAAGGTCTTTCCTGTAAAATTGATGTTTTTGTATTGTACTCTTTAAGACATTTCATTTGATATACGACAAGCAAACCTTCTAAAAATTTCCACTTTTTACACATAATGACCCATTCCGCCTACATTTTTGATATCGGAAGTATGATATATGTTATGTAGACTTGATGATCTTTCATATGATATGCGACAACGCCATGTTCTAGAAAGTTTGATTTTTGCACTTAATAACCACATCCACCTAACTTTTGGAGGACAGGAATTTGATTTTGGAAATGTACACATCTTGACCTTTCATTTGATATACAACAACCTTACCTTAGAAGACAATTTATTTTCTGCACTCAATGACTCCACCCAACCCATTTTTTGGGGACGTCAATTTGATATTTAAAATGTACGCTTTATGGACTTTCATTTGATATGCGACAACCTAACCATCTGAGAAGTTTGAATTTTTTGCACTAAATGACCGGAGCCTTCCAACTGGAATAAAAAAAAGGGTTTAGAATTTTCATTTTTGAGTAGAGCTCATTAAGACCTTCAATTTGATATATCAAATGACCCCATTTGGCAAAGTGTATGATGCAATACCAAACTTGAGAACCGGTAGTCGTAGAGACATGGGACTACCACCATTCAACTCAAGACCATATTGACCTTTCAAATATAATAAGGTCAAGGTCATAGTAAACTTTGAAGGTCAAGGTAAAATTTCATCATGACCTGACATTGACCTCAAATTGAAGGTCTTAAAGTACTGATCATTTTTGCAATTTATATTAGGTTGATATCTGCTACCTTTAAAAAGATATACACACAATACTATACTTATAAGAATTATCTCGATGCAACTTTTGAACAGACGGTCGAACAGTTTTGAGCTTAATGTATGAAATGTAGAGCTCGTCGAGAGGAACATTTTATACACAGTATGTACGCAGCAAACTCTTATCGTTTTCTTAATATGTTAGCTTAAAATTGCAGCGTAAATGTTTTTTACACTCAATGACCTTTGACCTTGGGTGCAAATTAAAGGTCATATGAATTAAAGATTATTGGTGAAGGTCCAAAGTATCTAGTAGACTTCCGGTTCTCGAAATAGAATTTTTCAAAAATTGTGTATAATTTTTAAAGGGAAATAACTCCTTATAAGGGTTGATAACAAACTAATTGTCTATGTTTATTAACATTGCCATCTGTTCTTGTAAAAGCTGCAATTTTCAGTTCGATTCTATCTCTAATACTGTTGAAGAAAAATGCAAATAAAAGAAATTGCTTCAAGGGGATATAACTCTCAAAGGGGATGATGAAATTCTACGCAGCCTCATATGGTAATACATCATAATGAGATCTACCTATTGTACAAATAAGTTCATGATATCTTTAAAAACAATGAGGGGGGCCATGTTAAAGAAAACCAATAAAAGGGAGATAACTTCTAAAGGGGATGATGAAATCCTTAACAGGGTCATCTGGTAATACTTCATGATGAGGTCTATCGATGGTCCATATTTGGTCTTGATAACTCCAATAGAAACGAGGGGAGGGCAGGTCAAAAAAATGTTGGAAGAAAAAAAAAAGAAACAAAAAGAAAAAAAGAAAAAAAAAAAAACATTAGAAAAACAATAAGGTCTTTCCGAACGGAGTGGAAAGACCTTAAAAACACACAAAAAACCGTATTAGGCACTAAGACAAATTCAAATTGACATCTAACATCACACATATTTTCGTAACACGATTTTCTGTTAAATTGAATCACATAAATATGTTGTACCTACATGTAGCAATTCTTTTTCAGGTTATTGCACCATTTCCAGGTTCTATAATGCTGTCCAAAAAGAGTTCAAATGAAATAATTATCAAAGCTAAAGGCGGATCTATCAAAGATATGGATATCATAATAACAAACGTTGAACCCGACAAGGATATAGTGACTGAAGATGATCCATCATATGTTGAGAAAAGGGTCAGTAAGATGCTCCCCTGTTAAAACTAACACTATGAAAATAGGGTGATGTGGTTATCGGTATTATTGTCATTAAAATAAATGAGTCACCATATGGTCTCCAAAAAATAGCAAATGCCCATACTATATATTAACCTTCAAAAGAACATAAAACAATTGAAAAGAAATACCGACATTAATTGTTGTTAAAAACAATTAACAAAAAACAAGACAGATAGCAAGCAACGATAATCATATAATTACAGATTACTGAATTGGAACAGGCATATAAAGAATGTGGCAGGGTAAACTTAGAATTGTGTGTAAGAATTCGCCCTAATTTTGGACAGTGGTGTACAACATAAAAACAGTGATACTGTGAAAATCATCTGAAATTCTCTTGACTCTCAGATTGCCACAAAACAAAACAACTAACAAAAGACAAAACCAATAAGTACTAATCTAACATTACTTTCATTTACTGCTAGAATCAAGCCTATTTCAAATATTAAATAAACCATGTATTCAGACACTTTCAAATATCAATCAGGAAACAATAAAATTGATTTGCTATCAAGATATTATGAAAGGACAGATTAAATCATGACCTATTGCAATGCAAAATATATATATCAACGGGATGCAGGACCATAAGTCTACATAGCTGTATATTGTTTTTACAAAATGTAGTAGCGATTAAGACAGTCTTCAATGATTTTACTACCGTGTTAAATTGATAAACTTTAAGAATAAGTTTTTTAAAAGTATCAGTTAGTTTAAAAATGTACATAGATTGTATCAAAATCTACGTTGTCTATAAAGAACATCATCGTTAAAATTTGGATGATTTCCGTTTTGTAGTAAGGTTTTTATAGGTACAGCTAAACTTACAACTTACAACTTAAATCTATGATTTTATCAAAGAATTTTTTAAAGGTTTTCAATAATTTGTTGTAAAAGATTACCTGAGTTAATAATTTACTAGTTATAGATTACGTTATTGCAGTATTTATCTTTGGCGAATCAAGCAATTTTATCAAAAATAAATGCTCAGATATTAAATGTACATCAACTTAAGTCTTATCAGAAGGGCTCAAATCAAAACCATGAGAAGAAGTTGAATAGAATTGAAAACCAAAAATTCCGAAAAGTTGTACCAAATACGGCTGAAGCTTTCTTTGCCTGCGGATGGAAAAACCAGAGTATTTCGAATCAGTTTAATTGAATCCCAAAAAAAGCTTTGAATAAATGCAGTGTAAACAAAACTTTTGTTCAAATTTTAATGTTTCTGTTATTATCTTTTATCTTTTATAAAAGAACCAAAAAAAAAATCATGATATGCAAATTAGCCACGTAACTTAACAACCAATAATTTGGTTATTTGGTAAAAATATTACTTCAATGATGATTTTACTGAATTTTTTTTTACTTTTTTTCAATTTTAACAAGCAAATTGAGATAATTTCACAGCGATATTAAATTCATGTGTTAACTTATTTTCACAAACACAAATACGCTTATAGACTATTTTTTATTTAGGTTGCTGCTGGTGCACCAATTGGTAAAGCAGTTAAATCTGAATGCACAAACCATATACACTTGGCAATGATGAAAGACGAGGGGTTTGTTGATCCAACAAAATTCCTTGAAAATAGATTTTTCCAGTTCAAACCATGGAAACAGTATTGTGATGACTATTTATTAGTTTGGAAGGTATTAATTTCGCAATTGTTTGTTGTTAAATATGTAAAATCATTTACATAATGGATACCCATTTTTATAGTGTTGTTTTTCCCCCAAATATTTTTAACTTCCAACAATGTAGGTGCATTTGATAAAAATAAAAGGTTAACATACAAAACAAAAAGAACTGTATTTATGTATAATCTTCTTAGCTTTAAGAATTGAGGAACACACTTGTGTCACTTGATGAAACCTGAAAATGGGCTGTTACAGTGTTGATAAATGATTCTAGAACAATCGGAGTATTAAAATAATCCCAAATCACCTAAAATCAAATACGTTTTTCATTGAATAGAAATTTATTAAAAATAAATACTAAGAAAATGTCAACCAGTTCGGTGCAAGTGTAAATAAATCGGGTTTTATAGTTCTGGTATTTGAAAACTATTAATGTGAAAGTGAAGCAATGTAATAATAATGCAAATCTGTGTTTGAAATACTCATGGCTACTTAATATTTGAAAGATTTTCAGCAATGAGAAGACCTGCTACTGTCCAAAACATCAAAATATCATAAGACATTCCTCACTTTATACATATTTAGAGCATATTCAAACTTGATCTTTCCAATTGCACGGAACTGGAAGACGAATCTTGCATTTAGGTTTTCAAAAAAAATATACTTCAGCTAGTCTGAACAATTTTGTTATCCGTTTTTAATATGTATTGCTTTTGTAACTGTAGGCGTACAAGTTTATCAATATAGTCATTTTAAGGATAAGGGGCTAGGAATTTGGTTACAAAACATGACAATATGTACTTCGTTTGTAAAGTGTGTTCTTATGTTGTGTTGTTACAACACTGTCTAAGGTTGGGGGAGGTTTGAACATTCACAAAATTTATTTTGTTATCCTTCCACATTCTTTTTGTTACCCTCTTTTTTCAGGGACCCGTATCCATATTTTTTTTGCGTTTAATGTCTCTATCATAACGCAGGCTGATTGTTTTCTCTTTTGAATTGTTTTACAATTAACCATGCCAGGGCTTTTCTAGGTTACTATACGGAATAGTTTTGCTTATTTTCAAAGGCTGTCTGGTGACCTTTGATTGTTTTAATCCATGTCAGTTGTTGGATAGTTGTTTCATATGCAGTAAAACAGTATAATATAATGTGTCGAAATTTTTTGGATAAAGATAATATTCATATGTATATACTCAGATAATCAAGTTACAAAATGTTTATGGATGTGTATAGCCATACCTTTAATTAGTTGTACATGGTACATGAATCTATATATGTCATATAAAAAGCAATAATGAGAGTGTGAAGTGTAATATTCAGAAGTTAACTTCCTTTTAACAGTCAACAATTAGGGATTAAGAAAAATATTGCCTTCTTATTTATACAATGATCTATCAAATTTTTAGTTCCCACTGCGAAATGAAGCATTGTTTACATTTCAGTTTGACAAGCACGTTGATTTTTACTTTTATTTATGCATCAACACATTGATAAGAAAGTTTACTAGCACAAGATTTGTAATATTTAGTCGATTTTGACTCGGCGCATATAAAGCTAAGACCTGAGATTGTATGAGTGAGATCTGTATACATTTTTGTTAAACATTATCAATAGTTATAATTTTTTCTTTGAACAAATATAGTATACACACTTTAGGCTAAGTAAAAGTTACAGACCTTTGCACACACTGCAAACCAATTAATTTTTGAAAAGAGTTATAAGATGTCCCTTGGAAATAAAAAGTATATAAAAATAGCATTCAAGCCTACATTTCTGTGAAGATTTTTAAGAAATTTATATTGAAGGTTTATATCAACAACGTGTTAAACTTGTTTTATTATCAGTGCTGATCAAATATTTAAATGCCTTGAAAACAGAAATTCGATAAAAAAAATTGCAAAATTTGCATTGTAAGTGATCTCACACATACATTTCTTGAAGAAAATATATTTTTAAAAAGAAACAAAAACAATTATTATTACTCCTATGGCTGAGCTCTCGAGTGGGAAATAAAATGCATACACCTTGTCAATCCATATCCCGTTCCTGTTTCAAGTCTTCCAACAAAATTTTCATCACACCTTGAGTTCTTCAGTGCTACTGAACGGAATAGTTCTGGTCTGTGTGAATTCTTTTTTATGGAAATTGCCCTTGAACATATACAATTTGTGCATTGGCAGGGGACATTGAGAGGCCGTTCTGTTATTATCATCTGCGCGTATCGTTGCAGGGACGTAGAACTACAAGGCATCAGTTAGTCCGTGCATCTGTGCGTACGTAAGTCTGTCTGTCCGGTCATGTAAGCGTTTCCACATGTACAATATTTGCGAGATTTTATATATAAATAATATTCAAATCAAAGAGATCTTCAGCATTGTCTTGGATAAGTTCGAAAATCGGTGCTGATCAACTATTTTTGAAAGAATAATACCCCTTTGAAATATTTATGAGATGGAAAATTGCATTGTTAGCGTTCCCACGTGTACAATTTTTGCACGATTTTTACCATATTTATATTAACGGTTTATATCATCAATGTCTCGTACAAGGTAAAATACCAATACTTTTTTTATGTTTTTAAACAGTTTTGTCCGTTGGAAATATTAATTACATAGAAATTAACATTGGAAGCTTTCTCATGATTTTTTTTTTATTCTTTTCGAATTTTTATTAAATAAATATAAAAGGTTTATATCAGTAATGTTTGGGACATGTTCAAAATCCAAGCAACTTATTTTAAAAGAGTTATGCACTTGGAAATTTCAATTATGTTGAAAATTTATCTCAAATATACATTTCTCCAAAGGTTGTTTTGATATTTAGATCAAAAGTTTATATTATCAATGTCTGGAACAAGTTAAAAAACATCGATGAAAAATTTTTTTTTTGAAAAGTTATGTCCCTCATAAATGTAATTTCTATAGAAAATTGCATTGTAGGCGCTCGCGAATGTGAAATTCATGCCAAATATTTATGAAATTTATATCAAAGGTTAACATCAGGAATGTTTCGTACGAGTTCGATAATCAGTGCCGATGAATTATTTATAAGAGTAATACCCCATCGAAATATTAATAATATGGAAAATTGCATTGTAAGTGCTCTGCAGCCTACACTTCTACATTAACTATAGTTTTGACTTTTATCTTTTTAAAAGGTCGACAGTAATTGTAAAAAGCAAACACGATTAGCAATACACGATCTACATAAATACCAACATGACTGAAACAACTCATTGATAAGTTATAGGAGTATTAACATTATATGATTATGTGTTACACAATAAAGCCATCTGCTTGAAAAGTTTAACAAATTAAAAGTACTGTTTAAAGCAAAATTACTAGCAATAAACGATTTTTCAGAGATGCCAATACGACTGATACAATTTGTTTACTTATTGAAGGATTTATTTCCTTAAAATTTTGTACATAGTTTTAATATTATTAGAAGTTTGAATATAAGGAGACAAGATAAGTATTATTTACGAGGTCAATTTATCAAAGGTGAAGGTCATAGTAACTTACCTCTCATTACAAAGTATATAGTGTTTTACCCGTCCGTCAGTCAGTCGTTTAGTCAGTCATTTGCATTTATGGATGCTAACAGAAGATGTGATATAATCACCAATGAGACAGCTAACCACCAAAGACCAAATGACGTAGAAATAACAAGTCATCGTTATGCTTTCATCTATGAGAAAACCCCATACTTCATAGCAAGTTATAGAATCCCCGACGTGACAATAGTAAACAATCCAAACCAAAAATGGCCCTGATTAATACACAAGGCAATTAACAAGAAGAACAAATATGATATACTGCAACAACTGACAACCACTTAATGACAGGCTCTTGACTAGGGACAGGTACATACAGAATGTGGCGGGGTTAAAAATGTTTGCAGCTGACAAAGTCTCCATTTGACGTTTGACAGAGGTGTAACAGCTCAAAAAGGGAACTATAACAATAAACGGAATTGGATTTACTCATCAGATTGATACAGAGCACAAAAACAACTAACAAAATCACCAAACACACTTGATCTGAGAGTACTCACAGTTACCGTACCATTACTTGTTTACAGTCAAATATAATAAAAAAAGAGCATTTTATTAGATTTTGGGGTCATTTTGTCTAAGGTCAAGGTAAACAATGTTGAAAATATTCTTGAATTTGTTCCAAAAGATGGTTATGAGAAGCTAAATCAAATATTACACATAGGATTGCAACCTTCCTTTCATGGATATGTTGTCACTTATTCTGAGAGGAAGATTGTTATTCATTTTGACGTCATTCGATATAAAGGTCAAGTACAAACTCAATTGAAAGAAACTCTGTTGAACGTGTTACAGTCTTAACCTTAGCAGAATTGTTTAATTAACTGTTATGTTGGGAGTGAGGAGTATAAACATTTACTCTAAAATGGTTCTCATTTTTTTTAGTTTGAAACATTGTATTCAGGCGTCATTGTTGGATTAGGTGGACGGAAAAAAAATGATACAAGCCCAGAATTAAAGAATGACAAGGTTGATAAAGAGGACATGCCAGATGAAAGTGACTCTCCTGACAGTGGAAAAACAAAACGAGGTAATATGAAAGATCTTGTACGAAAAAAAAAACGTGATCTTGTCATTAGGAAATACAACAGATCATTTAATAGTTACACTAAAAAATGTTTCTTTCCCTCAAATATGTCCTATCACCAGAACATGTCTTTATGACGTCACTACACTTGTTTGTTGAAACCTGTCCTGTTCATAAACGCCAAATCATGTCCATATTAAGAGATGCCAAGATGTGTCTACCTTTATAGAAAAAAAATGGTATAAAGATTGTTTGAAAATTAATTCAGTCAAAGCTTCTGTATTTTCATTTATAGATATGATATTCAATACAAAAATGGAAGAAAATATGTTTATCCAGTAACTCTTATTATCTGGAGACTTTCACAAATAGGATATTGCTAAATTAATCTGACATAATGAGACATTTTTTAACATTAAAGATACCAATTTACTGCACTTTGTGTCAAACTGTTCCACGAATACATTTCTGTGTAGATTGGACATTAACAACCTTCTCTTGAATATAGATAGAACTATTTGTTCCAGACGACCTAAACAGTTTAATTCCTGTGTTAAACTTTTAACAACACCAACTACAACTATTGCTCTAGATGCGCATTCAGACAATTAATGTATCTGCAGTGATGATCGAGACCAAACTATTTTAAATCTCAATCTTAATACATACTATGAAGGGCTGAAATATTTGAAATCACGATCCTGCATGTAGTCCGTTATTTGAGATCGGCATGAACCTCAAAGTAGTGCAGCATCCAAGAGAATATAAGCACACCATTTGTTCCTTAATGAATACTGATTTCAACTGTAGAAAAATGAAAATAAAATCAATCTATATCGCGAGAAGAAACAAAAATATCAAAACAAAAGAAATGATCAAAGTCTAAAAAATCAAAGAGTCGATTTTTAAAAAAAATTTAAATGTTACTATTTGCCACAGTACTGACATGCTGTAAACAAAAGCTTTTTACAAATGAACAAAATTTTTCAATTTCCATCTGCATAAGAGAGGCGAAAGAAACCAGAGAAACATTCAAACTCATTAGTCGAAAATAAACTGACAACGCCATGGCTAAAAAAGAAAAAGACAAACAGACAAACAATAGTACATAAAACGCAACATAGAAAACTAAAGACTGAGCAACACGAACTTCACCAAAATGGGAGTGATATTAGTTGCTCCGGAAGGGTAAGCAGATCCTGCTCCACATGTGGCACCTGTTGTGTTGCTCATGTTAGTACAATCCGGTAATTGGTCTAATTCGGTAGGTTACATTCGTGAAAAGGGGACCGGATTGTAGTTACAATAGGAACATATACGTAATCATTTGTGCATGTTCGTCATAAATGTGCATGCCATATATGCAATTGTGACCAACCTAAGATTTTCACTGTATACATTTATGGAATTCTTGTAAAAATACAAATGTACTTCCGTTCAGGGTATAAAAAGAAGATTGAATAATGTTTCATTATAGGAATATATTGAATGGCCAGTGTTTGCAAACTAATTAAATACCTATGTGATTCATTTAACAACTAAAAACTGAACATACAATGTTTGATAGAAGTAAATCATCCGTATTGATTGATAATTATGCTAGTGCATAGATAAGATAATATGGGTTGATGATGCGATTTTGGGGTAAAGATTAAACTAACTGCATTCAGAAACTTTATTGTCATTGGCTTGGTATTTCAGGTCTATACTTAATTTGTGATAGTACATACAACATAGTGCAGTTAAGTGAACATTTTTTAGATCATAGCTTTTCCAATGTCATACAGTTTATCAAAAATCACTACTTAGATATTCAATTCACAAAATAATTTGTCAGAAAGTATTGCATGTCTATGAAGCTACATGTATTTAATGTACCTACAACTTTGGACTAAGGGATATAACTCAATTCAAAATACACCTATGTAGTTGTTGAATTTCTTCTTAGCTTTTAATAATTTGTTCACATTGCAATATTTACAGCGTAATACTCACAAGCACTTTGATTATTAATTTTACCTTGCACACAGTAGCTGGTGCGTTACTACGAATGTAACGGATAGACATTTTTTTGCAAAAATTATCAAGAAGCCTGATTTCTCATAATGTCTGATACTGAAACAAATATTTCATTTTATTATGATATTTTGGTGTTGAGGGCACATTATTTTATAGAAGTCTGTATGTGATCCTCTTTTTGTCTTTTTTTTTGGTTATTTTTGTAGTTGGGTTTGCTATCTCTTATGGAGCTATACCTCACATTTGCATTCATTCGTATGTATTAATAAGGTTCTGTTTTTGCCTTTCCCTTTTTAAGGGATAGGCATTCTATTGATATATATAATGTTTGTCTTGTTTGAACCGAAAGTCGCAGAATGCGAAACTAAGGGATTACTATCCAGTGGCGGCGGGGAAGCACCATAAACGGTATGAAGCTTTATATCTCAGAAGGTAGACGAACTTGATGCTTCTTACCTCGATTAAGATTTTTGATGGTAAGAAGTTTCTGTTTGTCATATTTTTATAGTCTTCTACCTAACTATTATGGTTCAGCTTGTATTTTTTTTGTGCTTTGAATTACTCACTTATTATTTATTTTTTGTCATATAGTTTCACCTGATAATGACCTCATTTCATGTATCAGTTTTTACGGTTCAGTTTTCGAGGTCAAGTCTATATCTTATTTACTATAGGCAATAGATAAACTATGTTTAGGCAATAGGTAAACTATGTTAAAGTTTTGTGGTTTTAGATACTATAAACATTAGATCTGTAGTTGGTGTTAAATGTACATGTCGTCTGTCGGGCATATTTCTTTTGCACTTGACATTTTCATGGTTCATTAGACGATGTAAAGTTTATTGTGGTTTGGTTTTTTTTCACATACTTTAAACAATAGAACCGCTATATTTTGTGTATGAAATGATTGTAAGGTGTACATGTCTGTCTAGCATGATTCATCTGACATTGAACTCATTTTCTTTGTTCATTGGTCAATGCTAAGATTCATGGTTATGTCTAGTAAATGAATTTAAGTCTTACACGGTCATTTTGATCTTAACATCATCTGAAAAGTCTGAGCAATAAATTATTTTGTCATTGGCAATTTTCAGACTTATTTACTGCGATAAATTAAGTACTACTAGAACACACCCGCGAAATCGTGGGCATTTAGAGCATGGTTGAAAGTATGTAAACTGTTGTAGGATAAATTTTTGTAAAAGATTTTATGACAAGATAATTTTAGGAAAGGTATCAAAATTCATAGGTACTTTGGGGGCAGGACAATTAGTTTTTAGCCCTCCCCCTTTTTTCCAAAATCCGTTATTTTTTTGTTTTCTATTAATTTCAATTATTTTCGCGTTTTTCTGTATACTATGAACATACATATACTATAAATAAAGTGTATTTGCTATGTTATATCAATTCCTAGTTTAATATCTACGGCGGTCACTGATATATTATATAGAGACTCTATTTAATATATCAATGACCGCCGTGGATAGTAAACTTGTAATTGATAGTAAATAGTAAATACACTTTATTTATAGTATATGTATGTTCATAGTATACAGAAAAACACGAAAATAATTGTTCTGTCCCCAAGTACCTATGAAAATATTATGTGTTCTAAACGGAAGACTTGTCTATGAGTTAAAAGTCCGTCCCATGACGGAAACTATCTCCGAACGCCTTTATTTTCCTTTTCCTTCCAAAATAATCCAAACGGAATAATCATAAGCGAGGATGACAAATGCGACTATGCATGGTACCTATAGGACACAGAGGCATGATGATTTATTAATTGTGGAAGGAAGAGAAGCGACACACAAAATGAGGTCTTCTCATTTAATAGTATAGATTTAGACTATTCGCTTGCAATCAAATCAGATCTGTTCAGTTGTTTTTCAGACATTTTTGTGAATTAAATAATGATGCTTACAGGTAAATTAAAACAACTGAACAGTCTGAATAAAGACTTAACAGACTGCAAACAAATGTTCTGAACAGTACTGAAAATACCGCAGATCAAACCTGAATTACTGGTGACAATAGGTTAACTATATTATGTGTATGGAATAATTGCAGGTTTATGACAGGGTCATCTGACTCTGAGCTCATTTTAATGTCAATGTTCAGTTTTCATAATAAAAGTCTTTTTCCCTGATGTTATAAGCAAAAGACTAAATATATTTATTATATTATATGATTGTTATTATGTGTAAATGTCTCCTGGCAGGATCATCTGAACTTGACCTCATTTAAATGAATCATGTTAACGTTAAGTTTAAAGAATACTTGTATTAAAACCTTCATATTACAGACTTTTTACATTACTTCAATCATGAAAGAAGAGTGAAGCAGGCGAGACATTTTAGCGTTAAATGTTCAAAACATATCAAATGGAACAATGCATTTATGCTCATGTATTAGCATATTACTTCTACAGAGAAAAATGTAAAGAAGAAAAAGGTGAACAAGCAAACCAAAAAATAAAAAAAAACAGCCCTAAAAACCTATGAAAATGAAGTGGAAAAAAAGAGAGTAAAGACCATGTCTATGAATGAAATTTGTATAAAGGGTATGGAAAACAAATATAAATTTTAAAATGTAGTAATTAAATACCTCTCAATGGTGATTATGAATTCAATGTATTCAGTTTATTATGTTTATTATGTTTATTATGTTTATTATGTTTCTATAGATGCATTTTTTAGTAAGCTAAAACGAAATGGTGATAAGACACAGAATGCTGACAAAAAAGGTTAGAAGATAAATGTATATGCTATAAAGTAATAAAAGGTTCATTAATGTGGTTTTTGGCATGGCCATTTTAGAGTCATTTTGACAGTTTTTACATGAATATGAGGTCATATGTGGAAATTGATATTTTCAGAAATTCTGCATGATTTAAAGAATAACTAATCCAATAATTCAAATATAGAAAACTGTTCATAGAATGAGCAAACAACACATTAATTCACCAAAGCGCGTAGCACATGATTTGATTATCAGTGTTGTTCGGTCACGAATTGAATGTTTTTCGATATCTTAATTCTGGGATTAGTTATTCT